CCTCACATTCCCTCTTTTCCAGGCGCCTCGTTGTTCGGCCAATGTATCTTGCTCCGCAGGAGCAACTGAAAGAGTAAATTTATCGATACTCTTCTTTTTTTAAAATAATTAGCTTTCTCAACATAACTTTAAGTGCAAGAAATTCAAGTACAATCAAAGGGGCCATTTCCGTTTCATTTGTCGGAAAAATCCGAGGTTTGGCATGAGTGTTTCTCAACTGGTTAGCAATGTCAAAACTTGTATTTTGTAATAGAGAATATCCGGTTAGACAAAATGAGCATTACTTGTTCCTTTCTTACCGCAGGACAAAAATTAAATAAATCTAATTTGACTAAGAGGGGTGTTTATGTGTTTACGCGGGTAATCATGCAGGAAAGACCCGTTATTAATCGCAAAAGACAAATCTGCTAGAAATAAAACATTTCATTGCTTAAATATCCACCTTCATCAGTGACCTATAATCCAAATTCATTGTAAACAGAATTAATGTTGGCCGGCAAAAACAGTGGAGACTGAGATGGCCATTTCTGGCTTATTATCCCTCGTCTGGCCAGTCATACCCAGACCTAAGTGGTGCCCACTCCAGCCTCGAACGTGCGACCATTTTAATCAGGGTCAAAGGCCCTAACCATTGAGCTACGAGTTTCTTCTCTTAATATTTTCATCAGCGGTTGTCCATCAGTTACGATGCTGTAAAGATCCTAGAGGAGAAAACTATAACCATGCTACATGGTTGTAGGCGAGGAAGTTTCCTTTGCTGAGTTTTTCCTGGAATACAAGTTAACGGAGATTTTTCGGGTTTCTCAAAACGGGAATTCTACTCTTTCAGGTAATTCATTGCGTATGCTGGCAAACATCGGTTAAGTCTCACACTTAAGTGCTTTAATGAGTAAGACATAAGTGGAGTTGATAGGATCAGACCAGGGGATAGGCCACGTCTGCGTGGGCATCCAGTATCTGTGAGCCTGTTATTTCGATGGCTCTTCAAACCGCTGACTCGGTCGACATCGCCAGAAAGTAAGCTCGGCGTAACTGTCAAACATTTTATCGTTGAACCAGTTCGATTACCTTAGAGAGGAAGATCACCGCCTTTCGGGGTAAAAGACAAGTACCAAACGTTCATGCCTGTTATCTGCCTTTCTTAGATTCTCTGCACGTACCCCTGGAAATGCGTTCTATCAGCGCTGAAGACCAGAAGATCAATACCATACGGGCTCTTGCTGACCTCTTCACCTGCCCCCTCACCAGCTTCCCCATCAGCGTGGGACTATTCTGTGATGAGCCCATTCATGGTCCGAACGGCACGCTGTCCAGATTAGAAGGTAGGTCAATTGTTTTCTGATATTTTATGATATAATTTACCATACTGGCTGCACAGGTACTAGCTAAAAGCCCAGACTAGTGTTTCGTTGATATTCTGCCACAGCTTAACACATATCCGAGAAGTCAACCGCATCAGTGAGCCTCCGCACCGATATATTGAACGAAAAACACACAAGGATAGCTGTGGGATCCCTGACATGTGTGTTATGCTGTAACAGAATATCGATTAAACAATTGTCTGGGCCTTTAGCTAGTACCGTTGTGTCATGACCATGTGTTCAGCTGCGTCGTCACTTGTTATGACCTCGTGTTACACCTGTTTTTCCACTTGTTATATCCCTCAGTTGTATTTTAGGAGGAGAAGACAGTCAGGATAGCAGAGCACAGTTTACTCTAACAGTCTCTGTGTGTACATCAGTTTCTGTGCGTGTACACCAACTTCTCAGAGTCCGTGTCGGAAACTTGGGCTTCTGTCGTCGACAGCGCGCTCTCGTATCGAGCAACAGCTCTCGTGTCGATAGCAGTATCTCGTCTCGGCAACAGAATGCGCCGTCTGTTCGTATCCTCGTATTTGAGGGCCAGCAGTC